CAGGCGGGTAGAGGAAGTGGTGTAGTGGCAAGTGGCGCGCTTACCACGCGAGCGGTCCGGGGATCAAATCCTGGGTCGTGAGTCGCCCGGGCCAACCAAGCCTTCCATCCCTCCGGGGTCGGTTAATTGGTACCAGACTTGTCTGGGAGGATAAAAACACTGACTTACATCGGCTGGCCCCCGCAAGTCATTGTATAGGCCACATCGCATTCAAATGCCACTACGATCCTGAATGAAATAGAATGCGTAGCGTATCCCAAAACGGGATTGTAAGTACCTGACGCTTCTATTATCCTTCAAAGATATCAGGAATTAGTTGCAAGAGAGATCCAATTAAGCCTTTTGAGTGCGAAAAGTTATTCACTGGTTGGTCCGCGAGGTTCCGTCTTTTTGAATGGAACCCTGTGATTGTGAAAGAAACTTTTCCGGAAGGTTACCCCTGTTCAATGGATATTTTTCTCTCGGAAAACTCAAACATAGTTTTAGATAGAGTGGATCCGCGAAACCTCGACGGCGTAGGGTCGTTGGTCACTGGGCTGTCATTCTTGCCTAGTGCTTTTGACAGGTCCTTTCTGACGGGGATTCTCTACGAGAAGAAAGAAACGCGCACTGACCCAAAATCTCCCCAGATTAGGACTGTGGCGGCTTACCTGTATGGTTGATAACCGATGAGCTATCACTAGGCAAGTCCTTCCTAGTCGTGCTCGATCCAATGCTTCTTGCACAACCTAAACAGTTCAGAATTAGGCAAATCGTTTCCTTTTTTTCTACGAAATAGAAATTTTTCTTATCTAATTATTTTATTTGATCTTTTTTCTTGAATAACAGAATTACATTCACTGACCATTTTGTTCAGAGAATAGAACGATGCTATGTAACAATACATTTCGTTATTGCCTTATCGACAAATTTCATATTTTGGCCACAATGATTCACAGCAGCTGAACAAGCTTATTACATAAATACTGGATCGAGAAAATAGGGCTTTGTACTCACAAGAATGCTGGGTTGTGAACAAAACTTTCGCCCCAGGCGGGACTAGAACCCGCACCTCTCGCTTTCCGGGCAAGTGCGCTACCAGTTACGCTACCGGGGCACCATTTCATTCCAACTCAGCTTTTCATGGTATACGTACCATAGCTTTCAGCACTCACACGTCTAACGTGTTGAGCCGGTTAGCCGATATGAGTGCTGAAAGCTATGGTACGTTATACGTGGCTCAACACGTTAGACGTGTGAGTGCTGAAAGCTATGGTACGTATACCATGAAAAGCTGAGTTGGAATGAAATGGTGCCCCGGTAGCGTAACTGGTAGCGCACTTGCCCGGAAAGCGAGAGGTGCGGGTTCTAGTCCCGCCTGGGGCGAAAGTTTTGTTCACAACCCAGCATTCTTGTGAAACATTCGCAACGCGAACTGCGGCGTTAAAACAGCAGTTAACAAACAAAACAAGTCAAAATTCATTGCTAAAGCTTTCAGCCTCGCGGTCATTGCCGATATCGGCTAACCGGCTCAACACGTTAGACGTGTGAGTGCTGAAAGCTATGGTACGTATACCATGAAAAGCTGAGTTGGAATGAAATGGTGCCCCGGTAGCGTAACTGGTAGCGCACTTGCCCGGAAAGCGAGAGGTGCGGGTTCTAGTCCCGCCTGGGGCGAAAGTTTTGTTCACAACCCAGCATTCTTGTGAAACATTCGCAAGGCGAACTGCGGCCAAAAACAGCAGTTAACAAACAAAAAAAAACTTGTTTTATTTTCACGTGAATCAAACGCCTACATCAACCATTCATACCATGTCGGTGACACGGTTGGAGACGTTTTCGGAGTTCGAGGAATTGTTTCCCAGAAATTATGTTACCATCTCATCCATAATATCGTTATAGTTAACGATTGGTCGTAGCAGAATTAATGGCGCACCTATGTGCAATAAATAAATAAATAAATAAATAAATCACTGGCTTGGGTCCCATCGTTCGTAATAAGCTAAGCGTGAGAAGAACAAAAAATGCGTCTGTTTCGTGAAACAATTCCGAAGACGAAAGGGATTTTAGCGTTTAATATTCGCAGCCGTAAATTCTGGCCACGAATGCTGGCGCAGGAATGCTTCCGCTTGCTCGGAATGGCCTGCACTAGAATCTTGACTTTTGACTGACTGAAATCTTCGCGACTTCTAATGTGCATACCTATTCTATTCGTTTGTTTTGTCTCTATTCTGCTGAAAGTTTAAAGCGTCGAATCCTCCAATGCAGTCGTCTGAAACGTGCCACCCGCCCCCAAAGGCGCATTTCGATTTTTTTTCATGTGCAACCTTGGCTCCGCTCGATCTACCTTTCGCGGTCCATTAGGAAACGTTTTGTTCTTTTGGGGTCTAGTTCGCTCGGAGCTAAACGGCTTTCATTTAAGCCTTAAGGTCAAGCTGGCCGTTTAGGCTTTGGCTTAGGCTGTATGCTTGTCACAGTCTGTTTATGCTTACACCCCCTCCTTTTCGTCCAATATAAATCCGTTAGCCGCCGAAATGGGGGCCGTTCACGTGGTGACTATTTGTTTTCCTAACCTCGTTCGAGGCCGCCATCAAGAGAAGCAAGGGTATCGGATAAATTGAAAAAGGTAAAAATGAATTTTCTTAGTGTCGAAAAGCTTCTGTAAAAATTAGAGAAACTAAGAAAATCCAATAACCGTTGTAGTTTCAGCGGGATGAGCAGCCTAAACCTCTTCACTCCCCCCCCCCCGTTTTTTTGAACGTTGCAGGTGTACGGGGTAGGTAGACATTGACAGAGTAACCCAGAAAATCCCCAACTAGTTTTTTCAAACTCCATCCTGAGAGGGCCAGGGTCGTAATGACCTATGAATTTTTTCTATGCAGTGCTTGACCCTGGTAACGAAATACCACAAAACATGAGGACGACGTGGCACAGCAATATCGAAAGGTCACCTAACTCTGGAACACTCCGGCCAACTTATTCATCCACGACTTGAAGATACCTTTTCACTCTCTGTATCCAGAGCACTGGTGGCTTCATCGAGGAGTAAATATCTTCGGATCTCTGACAATAGCACGAGCGATGGCGATCCGCTGCTTTTGACCGCCCGACAACAGTGCACCTTTTGCTCCAACCACCGTATTGTTAACGCTAAAATTAATTTCTATCGAATACGTTTTAATCTACGTACGTGGCCTTATGCAACAGATATCGGAAAGTTTTTTTTTTGAGGTTTGGGCTACGAGTGCAAAAAAAGCTATCAACGACTAACCTCAGGAAGGCTATTGATAAAATCATGAATGTTGGCGAGACGTGCCGCATGCTCAATTTCCTCTTGAGAACATTTGTCCAGACCGTACATGATATTCTCGCTGAAAAACTCTCAGTTTGTTACCATTACTTATTTTCCAGGGTGATGTCTTCCGTTTCTCTTTCTAGCCCCCCAAATCTACGTCAAAGCTTAAAAAGCACATCTAACAAAGGAGTCGCAATGATCTTGAAGCACCCGTCATTTCTTGAAACAACTTCTTCTGAAATAACGTAGCCGCGCCTACATCAGTGAAAATAGTGCCACTCTGGCGAGTCAAAAACGCGTGGCAATGCTAGGCAAGGCCAACCTTCAGCTGCGCCCTGCGCAGTTCTCAACGAATAATGAGGAGGAAATAGGGGAGGGTGCGAGGGCTCAAATTTTGAATTTCGGCGGAGGGGAAAGCGACGCTCCTCCAATGTTTTCCGCTGTCTGCGCTCACCTCGCCTCTTGTTTCTCTGCTCGCTTTATGGCATACATTTCTTTACAACGATTTACCAACCTTCCATAAAACTCTATTAAAAGTTTGGTAGGTTCAGCAAAATTGTTTTTCTCCCACCGGTGACAAATGCAGGGTGAAGAACGGTCGAGGAAATCTTAGACCATGGTTCTGCACTGTGTGTGAACACAGTGTCTAGATTGAATGTATGCGCGGAGAGCGGGGACGGCTCGCGCGTGGCGAGACTGAATCCACGCGGGAGAGCGTGACGGAGCAGCAAGAAAATTCTTTACGGGTAGTCGACGAACCCTCGACTGGATTTCACCTTGGTCGCATGGGTGGACTCACTTAACTAAGGCCCTTTCTTCTTTTTTTCTTGCGCCAACTTAGCAGGAGGTGTCCACTTATGAAAAGAGCGCAGTAGCCTCACTGACTCCGTCCTGCCTCTCACTGACGCTCAGCGTGAAATTCACCTTTGAATATATTTCTTACGGGGGCCAAATTTAAATCGCTTGAAGTACTATTTGTTCATAGGAACACAATTTTTCTCTGATCTGTGAAAAAGGACATTATAAGGTTGGACTTAAAACACCTTCCTAACAGCGCAGGGAAGCGATAAATGAAGTTCAAGCAATTCACTAGAATGCTGCTGTCTTAAAGGCAGTGATTACGATAGATTCGAGAAGGGTTCAAAGGAGACGTGATGGTGCTCATTGTCAGTAGCACGCAGTGGCGAAAAAAGCTGAGAAATCCGTCAAGAAAACGCAAAACGGGACCCCCTGCCTTGGCCGGCTCCAGTCGAGTTGCTTTAGTTGTGCCGCTGCTGGCAACGCAGCTCGTCCAAATCACCAACTAAACTAGTGGGCGGATCGCTTTTGGGGGCGGAGTGCTTTCGAAGTCCTGCTCAGCAACCAGCGCACCTTTCGTCGTGAAAGCTACATCTCGCTTCCTTGGCAGCCAAGTAACTGCTTCGTGCGTTTAAAGTATCATGGCAATCTAGCGTCTGTATAATTAGTTCTGTCGCTAGCCTTTTTATCTAAATCCTTGTACACTTTTTTGTTTGCTGTGATGATTGTAGAGCGCAGTT